AAGGCACAGTCCCTGTTAGTTATTGATTTTAAGATATAAAGTTTTGTTTATAGTAATATAGCTGGAATATAACCATGTCAGGAATATAATTTTTTAACATTAAAATGATTGACATCTTGTATCTGATCGTCAAACGAGTACCTGTCCATATTGAGAGATAATGCTCTGGAACAGCATTAATTAAAACAAAATCGGCCATTTTGAATACAGCTATATATCTATAACATAATATATAATGAATATATAAAATTTGAACATAATCAGTCAAAGCATGTCAAAGATATAGCTCTAGAAGTGCATTCATTTAAAAACAAAATGGCTGCCAGTCAGCCATTTTCTGCGTCCAAACAGGGACTAAAAATTTACACTTACCTGTCTGTCTAAAACCAACAATGTAACATATATAGTTGCTAAATATAGGGTGCCATGCCAACGGGTTGATACATAATCATTGTAACTGAAATATATAAAATTATAGATTTTACAAATTTAAAATTCTTTTCATAAATTCAATTTTGCCAGGAACAAATATTTTGTAAAAAATGAGAACTTAAAAGAAATGAGAAATAAACCTAAGCCACCTACAATTTATTGCCTAACCAACAATTCAGGCCAAATGGTGCAAAATAACAAAAGATTTCAAAGAAGTAAATGTCGTCTGTTGAAGCAACAAATTAATTAATTGTGGGGGGGGGGGGGGGCTAATTTAGCAGTTTACAGTCAACCTTGTTTACATGGTAAAGCCACGGGTTTCATCCCTCTAGGCAGGATTTTTAAAGGAGAAGCTTTTAAAATGAAGTCTATAGATGTCACACAGGAGGGGAGAGGGCAATTTAGCAATTTTTCAGCATGTTGATCTTGTTTACATGGTACAGAGACTGCTTTCATCCCTCTAGGCAGGATTTTTAATTGAGAAGCTTTGAAAATCATGCCACACAACCAATCTATGCAAATCCTCAGATAAAAAAGTGAGGTTGCATTAATCATTGAATGTATTGTAATATACTGTAGAATGAATACAAGCAACCTCTCCGCTGAGATAGCTCCACTGTTAGCAATGCACATGACAAATCCGAGAGAGGTCCACATGTAGTACCTATATGTATAATATATCAAAGCAATTGGACTTGCGGTTTTAAACAAGAAGTCGAAAATATCACTTTTTACCAAAAATTACAAAAATATTCATCCAAAATTAGAGAATTAAAGATATCATTAAAAATGAACAAATCTGAGAGAGGTCCACATGTAGTACCTATATATGTAATATCAAAGCAATTGGACTTGCGGTTTTCAACAAGAAGTCGAAAATATCACTTTTTACCAAAAATGACAAAAATATTCATCCAAATTAGAGAATTAAAGATATCATCATGAAATGAACAAATCTGAGAGAGGTCCACATGTAGTACCTATATATGTATAATATTAAAGCAATTGAACTTGTGGTTTTTAACAAGAAGTCGAAAATATCGCTTTTTACCAAAAATGACAAGAATATTCACCAAAATTAGAGAATTAAAGATATCATCAAGGTACATATACACCAAGTATCAAAGCAGTCAGGCTTATAGTTTTCAAGGAGAAGTCAAAAAAGTAAAACATTGACAAGGACGACGACCGACAATCACTCATATGATAAGCTCCGCTCGAAAAAGTTGACAGCGGAGCTAAAAATTAAAAGAAAATCAGACCTATAACATAATATGAAATAAAGCTTGTTGTTACACTCACATCAGATTTCATGCCACTTTTTAAGAAATGTTCTGCCACATGTTTAGGGAGTACATTTTCTAAAAGGACTTTATTTAGCGACTCCATGGTTTCCACTTCTTCTCGCTCAACACCAAACTTTGACTGCCATAAAAAATCTAACCTAGCTGTATACTCCATCTGAAATGCGAATAAGATAATGTATGTAGATAGTTAGTCCTGTTGATCATCATCGTCCGAATCGCACGGTTTTGCTAAAGCCGGCCATTCATAACCGCTCACGAACCTGTGCGTGATCGTGTTAGTTGGTCCTGTTGCTCACCTGCTGATACACGTTTAGCTCTCACTAGATAAGCAGTGGTTTCAGGAGTGTAACAATTGTAGAGTCTAGTACTGAAGTAGCATGCAGGATGTAGGATATTATACAATCAAATGTTATTTTTTCATGTAATAGATCAAAAGACAAGCCATGC